AAAAAATGCTTTAGCTTGCACAAGACTTCTCATAAAGCATTAAAACTACGAAGATTCCCCGAAAAGTTCAAAAATTGTGGTGTGTAGGTTCAGCAGAAGAAAACAAGACGAATCGGCGGATAGCCAATTTCACATCGATTCAGGAAATGATAATCGGTGTAATGGGCAAAAATTATATACCTACGCACCAACGTCCTTGTATCGCAAATAGTGTGGAATATAGTAATAATACAGCATCTTCTCAAAAATGAAATTATTGAGCAGAAAAAATAATTATGTCCAGTTTAAGGATAGCAACAGTTTACCAACTAAAAAGTAATTTTATTATTAGCACTTTAGGACGTTTGATGCGGCCTAATTTTACACTCTAGCAAAATTTGCTGTAATAATATATATCCACCATGTAGGATTTATGTAGTTTTTGTAGACACACACAAATGTGAATTAAAAAAAAAAAAGGAACGAAAACAAAAATATCCCCAATACATTTTCAAATGCTGTTAATGTTCTTTTTTTGTTACTTGTTGTTAGCAAAATAGTATTTTGATTCTTTTCGCATTCCTTTTTCCTATTTTTTTTTTTTTTTTATTTTGCTATATGTATTCAAAAACAAAGCAATTAAATTTTCATTAACATAAATTAATGACTTCATTATTTTCATTTTCTATTCACATAAAATATCAAAAAAGAGAAAAAGCAAAAATAAAAATACAAAAAAAAAAAAACAAAGAAATTCACTTTGACTGTTTGTAGAAATCGCTCTATGTTTACTCGAGGGCCTCATAAATATTCATTAATTTTTTTTTTACATTTATGCTTGTAACGTTCATATGTTGCTACATTAGAATTTTTAATATATCAGAGACCATCAGATAGTGTCACGTACACATACGTACACTTGCAAATGGTATTACTAATGTTTATTCACTGCAATGCTTGCAAAAGCGTATATATATATGTATCTATATATATGTATGCTAAGGGTGCAAAGGTGTCGTAGTTACAAAACCAACACAATTATCACTAGTTGCATAGCGTTGTTATTGTTGTTATTTCTGTTCCTTTAGCTGTTCACATTATTTAATTGTTGTAGTTTTATTGCATCGTCATGGTGCTATCGTTGTTGTTGTTGTTGTTGTTATTTTATGCTAATATGTTATATTATCAAAGTTCACTACTTTTTTCATCTTCTTCAGCAAACATTTATCAAATATTCCTGACAGTAACTGTTTTTAATGGATTGCTTCACATTGAATATAATTTTTTTATATATCATTTTTTTTTTTTTTTTGCTAAGTTCATAAAAACAGGTGCAAAAAAAAACGTTACATCAGTAGTTCATATATTTGCATATCATTATGAGTAAATTTTTGTTGTCTAAAATATTACACAACAATATTAAAGAGTAAGCAGTGCGTATAAGCATTTGGAAGCACTCCATTGGTTACACATTTTAGTATATATTTACATTTGAACAGTGCGTATGATGAATATTTTTAAGTTCACATTTCTATGCATTGCAGCGGCTAAAAATATTTAAATAATGATCAAGTCATACCCCGTGCGTATGATGAACATTTTTTCTCTCTTTTCTTTAGAGTCTATTAAAGAAACAAAAAATGAAAACAAAATGAATAACGTTAAACATATTACACAGTGCATATGATAAACTGTTTTATATTATTCTCAACTTACACGTAAATTTTTTCTTTTGTCTTTTTGCTTTAAGTCAAAAACAATTCAGCGAACTTTGGTAATAATAATACTTTCATTATATTTTCACTTTTATGTCTTACACGCTTTGTTATGGATTATCTGGTAAAATGCAAACGCGCTTACTTGCGAAAGCAACAACCGCAACCACAACGCAAGCATTTGTGCCATCAATGTTACGGTGTTTTGTTTTTTAAAACCCGCAACCGATGTTGTCGGTCGTGCATATGCACGCACATACACGGTCGCACGCACACATTCATTTCATTCCGTTATACATATATGTATACATATTTGTACATGTGTATTGGCAGATAGATAGAAATATATATTTATCGCTCTCTTTTTATCTGTGAGTTTGCCGATGCTGTTGCCCGTAGCTAAAGGACTCTTATGAACAACTAAACATCAACTAAATTTTGTAACTGTTTATGAATTGTGCTAGTCGCCATGAAACACCACACACACACACACACACACAATGGCTCATATTTGTTCGCAGACACATACACTGATATATATATGTATATGTATTTAGTACTAGTTGTTGGCTCACACAGTCAATCACGCAGTTAGGTTGCCAGCCAGCAAAGTATTTAATGAGACATTTTGCGGCGAATTCATTTTATTTCATATTCGCGCGCTTAGTATATCCTGTTCGGTAAACAAACCGAAGTGAAAACATGATAAAGTTTCAGCAAATTTTTCTAATAAAAAGAGAACTTCTCGTCATGCGCCTTAAAGCAAAAACAAATTACTAGCCAAAGATTTCACATGAATTCTCTTTTATGCCTATCTTAAAAGAAGAGAGATTAGGAAAATATGGAGAGACAACCGAAGAAGAGAGAGAGAGAGAGAGAGAAAGAAAGAGAGTAAGAGAAAACGAAA